GCTTGCCCGTGGGCCGGGTTAGCTGGGATGGGGGGTTCGCTCACCCCTGGCTCTCCCGTCAGGACTGGGAAGGTGGGTACCCCGAGATCATCAAGGAGAACAAGCTCTTCGAGCACTACTATCAGGAGCTCAAGATCGTGCCCGAGGGAGAGTGGGACCAGTTCATGGACTCACTCCGGGAGCCGCTCCCGGCCACGCTGAGGATCACCGGTTACAAAAGGTAAGTCTGGTGTGTTTTTCCTGGGAGGTGGACTTGGGGCGCAGGGGAGCAGTCTGAGTTGCATAGGCGTTGCAGGTGTAAAATCAGAATGTGCGCAGCCCATTCTGATCAAGGCTTGGTTCCTGCGGGTGGGTGAACTGATGCGCCCATCCGAGGAACGTGCAAAACTTGTGGCATCTAATTAGTTTGCCTCCCTTCTCCCCGACCACCATTGTACATCACCCACGATGTCTGTTGCAAATGAAAACGAAGCTGGGCAGAAGTACAGTATTGCGTTTACCTTACTTCTTAAGGTGTGTCCAACCTGTGCCCACTACACAATGCAGTGAAACTAGAGGGGTTTGGGGTTTTAGTTCAGTTGGTTTGGGTGCTGTGCAAACTGAATTCTTAAAAGTTAACAGTGTCTCAGTGTTAGGAGGCTGCACACCCCTGGATGGTTAAGGAACATTTTGGAGTTCATTTTAGTTTTAAAATGATTTTAGTATTAATGTTGTTATATTTTATCAACCTGGCCTTTTAGGCTACTGTGAAAATTGCTTTTTTTTTCCGTAGCCATGCAAAAGAGATACTCCATTGCTTGAAGAACAAGTATTTTAAGGAGTTGGAGGACCTGGAGGTAGATGGTCAGAAAGTTGAAGTTCCACAGCCACTAAGCTGGTAGGTCCAAAATCCTCCCTCACCCTTGTCTTGGGTGTTTCTTGGATTTCTATTCTATTTACTTATGTATATTTTTGTCCCTTGGATGCATTTCTCAGCTTCATAATCGCTGTAGGCATAAAAAGCCTGGGTGAGCTTTTCCAGCATCTTAAGTTGCCCCCCCCCCATGCTTTTACCAACATCAGACTGGTGTGTACATGTTCGTAAGTGACACGCAGGTCAGTCAGCTGGTTTTGGGCCCAGCCTCTTTATTGATGTTCCTGGATGACTTTTCTCACTTCTGTTTACAACCCTGAGTTTCCCACATCAGAGTTTCAGGGTAGATGCTCTCCCTCAAGAAAGGGAGAATAGATTCCGCTTGACAAAGCCTCGTCAGGGCTGGTATGGCTCATGTCCCAGTTTTCCCTGGCTCAGCCTCCTGGCAGGTTCAGTCTTCCCTGTGTCCAGCGCCCAAGCATTCATGTTCCCATGATAGTACTATCATGTCCTGTGATCCCTGGAGGCTAAGGCGTAGGATATGACATGCAATGCTCAAAGTGCTACATAACAGCCCAGAAGCTCCATACCCCAAACAAACAAACTTACAGATGTTTTAAATTATGGTTTCCTAGTTCAGATATGGCAATAGAATTTTTGCTAAAGAAGAACATTTTTTTAAGTCATTGCCATGTAAGGGTGAATTTAGTAAAGTCTTTTCTGGTAGCATTTTAGGTTTTGGCTACTTTATGCTTATTATTTTGAGACACGGTGTCTTATAGCTCTGGCTGATCCGGACATTGCTCTCTATACTGGGCTGGCCTTGAAGTCACAAAGATTGAACGCCTTGACTCCTTTGTGTTGGAATTAAGGGCCTATGCTACCATGTCTGGCATTTTGACTATTTGTAAATTGATGTTGTCATCTTTTATTTTTAGGTAGCCTTTTGTGGTCACTGGCCATTTGGATTTGCAGTGTCCTTAGCGTAGTTAGGCACAGCTGGATACCAGACACTAAAATGAGTGTGCGGTGATGATCCAAACCTGATGTCACTGCTGCAGAGTACGGGGTCCTGAAGCTTTATGCCCCGCTTCCTAGTTATGTGTTTGGGTTAGATTTAATATTTCAGAAGATAATATATAGGAGGATGGCTCATGCTTGCTGCTGTAGAGCAGTTGTGATTCTGCTGTACTAAGTCGGTGAGAACGGAAAGTGAGTCTTGGCTGCTTTGGTCATTGACTGGTTAAGGTATGAAGGCTTCTCAGCATCTAGCCTTCGTTCCCCTGGTAACTAGCCAGCTGACTGATCTTCTCGAGTCTTGGTTTGAGATTGGTGGTAGTGGTGCTTGCGCATTGTTTGACGTGGAGGCTTCTGGCCTCTTACTTTCCCGTGAAGTTACTGTTCTTCGTCCCACCTGGAGACGTTTGTTCCATAAACCTTGGGCAGGAAGGCTTTGCAGGTGAGGAAGCCTCTTTCTGCTTGCCTCGGCCAGTAGGAAGATAGTTGAGCATGCAAGCTACGAGATGGTGTGCTGTTGTAGTCACCTTGTCCTCCGCTTTCCAACAAATTCCACACAACTGTCAGACTCTTTGAACAGCCCTTGAACACCCAACTGCCCCTAATGCCACAGCTGCTTTCCATGTCATTTTCTGCATTCGTGGACTGGCACAGGGCAGAGCCTTCCAGAGACTCCAGAGAAAGGTCACAGTAGGTGGGGAAGGAAGGGGCTCTGTCTCTGTCAGTGGCTGGCAACAGGCTGCTGCTGCACTTAGTTTTCTGAACACAGCTGAGGTATGAAGAAATATTGGATGTTTTGGGGTCCTAATCGATAGCTTTTCCCACTATCAATGGCAGTTTTTAAATCAGGTTTACATGTCAGTGTTGGTCACTTGGAAATCTCGACAGTCAGACTTCAGCTTTCTGGGACTTGTGGTTTTCTGTTCAAAATGTAGCCGTAGGGTATTCTCTTTAGCCCTTGGCCACAGTGGGGCATAATGTAAAAAGATAGCAGTGCTGCTCTGTCTTGCATAAAACCTCAAATGGGTTTTGAAATCCTTTAAGACACTTGATTTCCTTGGGGCGGCCAGCTCACAAAAAAATGGCACACAGACTTATTATTAATTAGGAAAGCTTGCCCTATAGCTTAGGTTTGTCCCACTAGCTCTTATAACTTAAATTAATCCATTTCTATTCATCTTTGTGTTGCCATGTGAGTTGTGGCTTTTCCCTCTCCTCCTTCGTGTCTCTTCCCTCTGCCTCCGCTGGCGAACTCTGCCTTTCCCCTTCCCAGAGCTCACTCTCTGTCCCCAGAAGTCCTGCCTAACCTCTTTTCCTGTCTATTGGCCAGTCAGCCCTTTAGTAGACCACTCAGAAGGTGCTTTGGCAAAGACATATCTTCCCAGTGTACAAAAAGATTATTCGACAACAAACACACATGTTCATAATTATGCAATCTTAAAAAGTACATTTCAAAATAATTGCCATTGCCTGGTAAGGTTTCATAAGCCTTTGATGGCAGCACTTGGGACGAGGTGGCAGGCAGAAGTTTAAGTCCAGCTTGGTCTATGTAGAGAGCTCTAAAGGAGCCAAAGCTGCATGAGATCTTGTTTTTAAAATATATTTGCTGGTTACTCTAAAAATGTGTAGTCAGTTTTTTTTGTTTTTTTTGTTTTTTAATTTTCACTTTTGCATTTAGCTATTTGGAAGTTTAAAACATATTACTCAGGAGATCACTAGCTGTCATGCTCAGTACAGGAGACCTTGAAGCTTATAGTAAACTTGCACCTTAACTGTTGGTACTAGAAACTGACCCATAGGACCATAGAAGCAGCTATTTATTCAGACGAAATGAAAATTCAGTTATTTCTAGTAAGCGAGTGGCGTATAGCATTCACACTGATTCTCTGGTGAGTGTTATATGGTGCTCATGCTGACGCTCTGGGTAGCTGTGTATGGTGTTCACACTGAAGCTCTGGGGAATGGTATATGTGGTTCACACTGACGCTCTGGGGAGTGGTATATGCTCTGATGACTTGGCAGTTTGTACAGTGTACTGCTACTGGTCACAGGCAAGTTTGGGGTTGCCAGAAATTATAATAGTTGGCATTTTGCTTCTCTGTATTTCAGGTGACACAGTGGCCCAGCAGATTTCTCAAACACAACTCTAGGAGCCAAAACTGGGCATATCTATATTACTGCCTTTAGTGACCCAGAATGAATACCTCAGTTTTTGTTTTGTTTTTAACTGCCTGATAAATCGAACATGGCTTCAAAGTACTGTGTGAGTGAGTGGAGGGCGCTGTGCGTAAAATCCACACGCAGTCCCACTTTCATACATAATTTAGAAGACAGAACTTATCACGGGTATCTTAAAACATGGGTATTGAATAGGGTCTTAAGATGCCAGAAGCTTGTTTGTTCTCCTAGTACCTCCCAAGTTTAAA